ATATGAATAAATGAAGGTATCCGTCTGATAAAACCAGACATTAGCATCATGATAATATGTATATCGTTTTATCCATTTCATTTTAAATAAAAATATAAACGTTAATGTTACCGATCCTCACTAAATTATTGCTAACTTATTTTATTCAGGCAGAAAAGGACCGAGGTTACATTTTGTTTAAGAAAAAATATTCTTTTTGATTTATATATAAATTGCTTGATATACAATTGAAATACAACAACAATGAGAGCTGGAGGTAAAACAGGACTTGTACTCCGTAGTCGAAGACTTGAGTCAAAAGTTGTAGGAATTCTGAAATGGATTATCAATTTCTGTGCCCTTAATTAAATAATTATATTCTATAAACCTAATACTTATTATTATTACGACTTAGTCTGTGATCCTAATATGAGTGTTCACAGTATACGTTTACTATCATACTCAAGAATTTTATAAATTATTTTAGTTTGTCACTGTTTTTTCAAAGTGCTATGTAGGCAAATGGGCAGAGTACTTGCCAACTCCGCGAACACAACTTCTGGCGCATATGTTTTCATATTTCACAATAGATTATTGAAATCCAATCCTAAGAAGTAAGTACGTAAACACAACAAGTAGTAGTAAGTAACAACCTTAATACCACAAGTAACAAACTTAATACCACAGAATTTAAAAATTATCGGTATGATATGTTGCAATCGCAAAATGTGACTACTATGACCAGACGCTGGCTTACAAGTCGTGAAAGTTAGCCACATGTTTGGCTTCTACTCGGCAGATTGCACATTACAGGTTTGATCGTATCTCAAACGTCTGGTAAACAACTCTAGTTATATCAGATTTCTTAGTATACTAAGAAATCTGATATTAAATTATATCAGATTTTGAAAGCTATTCTCTGCAGGTTATCTTTGGCTAGAAATGACATAAACGGGTGGCAAATCCTATATAAAATCTTTTTTAGTGTAAAACTAATAACATAAAATGATAACTGTATAAATTTAATAACGGGAAATATTTTCTTCGGTTCCAGGTTCTATATATTGGTATGTATTGTACATACATATGTAGTAGACTTTATAATGTAAGCAACGCGTCATTAAAAATGTTTGAAAGTCTAAAGATGTATGAAGTATTCAAATAGCTTGAGATTTCGGTAAATATTGTTCAATTTTACCATGCAAACACGGCGGAAAGTAATGAACAAACTTATATAGGCAATTACTCGTAGGTACTCACTTGGAGAGTGATCAAAATTGAAGTTTATCAATTACGTAGCACAACACGCTTGGTAAGTGCCGCCGCATGACGTCCTAAGGCAAGTACCAAGGTACCATCAACCTTGGAAAGGCGCAGGTCGCCGGAAACCCCCTGCTTTAGGCGAGCACGCTATTTTACAATAACCTGCTAAATTAACTGGCTCATCGATTTAATCACTTTTTGTTTATTCATGTCGTATTATATGGAGCTATTTAAAATTATTCGATTAGCTATAAGGAATTATGCGTTTTGAGCCTTAGTCGTGTTTTGGATCACATTACAAGAGAAGTTTTAGTACATGTGAATCAAAATTATTATTTATACTCTTTTCTTTTCCAATCACATTGGTATACGTAATCTGAAAAAGATCGCCGGCTACTTGCTGTTTGATGGACCGTGGCTGTTCTATCATATCACTGCTCACTACCTAATGAGGGCCTATAATTCTAAACTTAGTGTCGTTGTATTACAAATGGATATAAAACCCATTCCCAGAGATACTCTAATAATTAACTGTCCTACCCGTTGAATACCCAATAAATAATAGTGTAATATGACGTACGAAACAGAGATGACAGGTTTTTCATTAAGGTCAGCATAACTTCCTTGTCTTTTCTCCTTTTAAACGTGGTCGTAGAACCAAAAGTTGGAAAAAAATATATAGGGAATGGAAATTGGTATGTGCTTTACTAACATTATAAATGTAACATTTACTAGAAGTGTTAATTTCGGAGTGGCCTCTGGCAATGTCACCGCGGGTAGTAAATAAGATAATGGAGATAAAAGCCCACTAGAGATAGTGTTGGTGCCAACTGAGAATGAGTAATATCCTAGTAGATTTCTATAGAAACGAATGAATGAATTTCATAGAAAGAAACAATCTTCACCGGTAAATTAACCAAAAATTTAAGCAGTTCTTAGTCTAGTATATCTAAATATATACCATTATTTTCAAAACCAGCCTAGAGTCGCTTTAATTAAATTCACAAAATTTCATCATTTCTAAATTAGCACAGAATAATATAAAATATATTCAATCTGAAAATATTATTCAAATGAGCGAATGTATGTAGGCAATTTACTAAAGTTTTGATGAAACCTAAACATTTCTGTGCCAATCTTCTAATTTGTGTATATCATACGTTGTTTATTAGTATAATTTAATCTGTGCAACGGATTATCGTCTGCGATATTTCCGGACCGATACGACCTTCAAACCTCCAAGAAAAGAGCGTACTCCTTCCTAAAAGGCCGGCAACGCATTTGTGACTCTTGAGTTGCAGACGTTCATGGACGGCGAAAGTCACTAACATAAAATAAATAATTTAAACATTAGAATTTACTGTGTGCAAGCCCTCTGTGAATATTATACTAACAATACGAGTATTAGTTACAGCCGCTCAATATATGTATTTGCGCTTTTCAACATAAATCTTGATTTCCACAAATAAAAACGGAAGCAACACTTATTTTTGTCAAAAGACACGCGCTTTGTTGGCATGGGTTCAAAGATTGTATGCCACTCTAATTAAAAAAGTAGTACATTTATCGAATTTAATACATCCGTACTAAATGAACATTGTGATATTAATTCAGTCTTTCAAACTTTTGATATTGAGAGATATAGGTATATGTATATAATGGGGTTACATACAATTAGTTAATGTTTTCTTCGCCAATCTCTGGTTTATACCTTGACCTTACTGCTTGAGGTTGCATACAATCACAACTAAAACAACTAAAATGAAATGCACAAATTAAAATATAAATACTATTTCGTTTGCAAAACAAGTTTCACTGAATTTTCAAAATCACTTTAAAATTTCAATAGGTCACTGCATTTTTAATGTTACATAAAAATATTAACATTTAAACTAATTAGATCTACCAGAATTCAAAACTGAAAAACTGTGTGTTGCGTTTCTGTTTAACTTCCAAAGAACAACAACACCACAACACATTTTGTATTCATATTATTGCACATATTTATCTATCACGTTTCTTTAATCCCTTCAAGAACGTGAGCTGTGTCAATGATTGATAAGAAGTATGATTGCTTGATTCATATTGCTCGTACTTTCCTTGTAGAGCTTTTGAAAGGAAAGCTACGATTCGAGGAATTATATTAGGTGAGACTAAGGTATTAAGTTTCAAGTGCCTCGTGAGCGAAGAGGTAGAGTACTGGTGTGTTCTTTATTTTTAGTGGGGTTTAATAAACCTAATCTTAAAGGGATGTTTAAGATTAGGTTTATTAAACCTAGGTTTAATAAACCTAATCTTAAACATCCCTTGAGACCTTATCAGTTCTGAAGTGATCCTAAATGAGCTTGTAGAATTTGCTACGAATGCAATATATAGTTGGTTCTATAATTGAAGAAAATATGTACCTCCATATACAATTTTTTTACGGTATAGGGGGCAAACAAGCAGACGGGTTATCTGAGGGCCAAGTGTGAGATTATTTCACATCTACTCGATTATCACGGTAAACGCGTTCGACGCTACGATTGGTCCGCACTTAAATCTGCACCAATCGCAACGCCAACTTACACTAAGCCCTCTGAAGGTAAGTGACTAACACCGCCCATAGACACCTGTAACTTAAGACTCATACAGACAGAATTAGAGGGAGGGGTGGGGGTCCGGTAACCTCAGTCACTGGGCAAAAAGTAACGACAGAGTTGCTTAACACCGGTTTTCTGTGAGGCCGTGATTATACTCCGGTCGTGCCGGCCCGTTAGTGTCGAAGCACAGCTATTATTATTATTATATTTATTGACTTATAACGTTTTGGCAAAATTAGTTAAGTGATTAGTTATTCACTTGTGATAACTTCAATAATCTTATAAGTGTAATCATTTACACAAGTGGCAAAGAGCTTATGGAATGCATAGAATCACATTTTGTAAGCTCTTCGTCACTTGTGTCTTTGGTGCTAAACACGTACATGGTATAAGTAGTAGGTAAGTAAGTATTAAGTAGTGCAACGTACCTACGTCGCTTTCATCATCACGAGTTTCGTTTAAATGAAGCTTCGTTTAATTTTTCATTCTTTTCATTTCTTATTTCAATGACACTGATTTAATTACCGTCATAATCATGTATCAAATATACCTCCTCATACATCATAATTATCTCCTATACAGATTGTAAAGATATCCATGGTTATTTGAAGGAATATATTAAGTCATACAAAGTCATAACAAAACGGTCGTTCATAAACCTTTAATGTCCCGCAATATTAGATATTACGCCACGATACGGCAATATTATAAGCTATGTGAAGCATGTGTATGCTCATCAATCCACTCATGAATACTCAAAACCTATGATATAGTAGTAAACATATGATATAGTAGATATATAACGGAAATTTTAAAATAATATACATTTATTTTAATAATAGAGTATGCCATTAAGAAAAGGAGACAAGCAAACGCATTCGATTAAACAGGCGAGACGTTGTTACGTAACGTACTACGTAACGTGCTTCTACTGCTGCTGTGTATTTTTTACGAACAAAATTTTCACCGCTTTTATAATCACTAATTTCTACAGATTGCTACTAAGAAAAGAGTGATTATAAAAGCGGTTTGAAGTAAAACTATTTCTGTCAAAAATTCTGCTATTCAACAACAACAATGCCAAGTTTATAAAGTTTCCCAATACTTTCATTGAGAACAGAAACTACCTACATATATGACTTCTTCGATGAATGGATAGATCCCGTTAGAACTTACCAGTTTTACTGGCGTCTTTGATAAGTTCAGCTATCAGGTCATCACTGACTTGTATTCCAAGGTTCCGCAGCATGAACTGTAGTTCCTCGGGCGTTACGTGCCCATCACTGTCACGGTCCAAAAGACCGAATGCGGTGCGGAGATCTGAAACAACGCATTTCTTTTTAAATTAAGGAACAATAAATTGATGTAATTTATACTATTCGTCTTTTAGACATTTCGATACAGATTCCATTCAATAAAATTATTCTAAATTATCCTGCTGCCTAACGTGAACCTCTGAAGGTATTACTCGAGGCTCTTAGCAATCAACACATGGGCGGAATTGCTTACCGGCGCAATAATTCACATTCCACATGTCCACAAGCTCATTGGTTGGCTCACGAGCTTGTCGACAAATACTCTTTGTTAATATTTTATAGCTTTTAAGAGACATCATTGTGAATGGTGATTTCAACAATCATTTCTCTGCGCTCTAATCGGTCTATTAACTCGTGGTGATATAGTTATCAGTTTTATTGGCAACAATAGTCCTGTCTGTGATAATAGAGTAATCCCAGCACTACCATTTTTTATTATTATTTACCTTAAAACGTAAAAAGTAAAATAATAAATAAAAAGGTATGAAAGTTTTTTGGCAAAAGTTGTGTACAGTTGTTTAAAGCAAAATAATTAAAACTATGGGGTATATATTATACCTTTTTTTGAAAACTATGTCGATTTTCTTACTACAGTACCCAATAAAAGAAAATCTAATACAATTTTATAAAATCAAAGTGCTATTGCAATGCATTTCAAATTTACTTTTTGAATGTTGGGCGCGTAGAACAGATGAAAAAAATCTAAAGATAACTGAAATCTTTAAAACAAAACTTAAAATTTAATATCTAAATGTATTAATTGAAACTTTTATGTGTTTTATCATTACTTATGGAGCCTAAAGTAGCCTGTTGTAATAATTAATGAAATTAATATGATGTAAATACTAATTAAGGCATTTATTGATAAATTATTGCACTCTATATAACACTAGGCTAAGATATGGAGATAAGATAATTAGATAAGATAATATTTAGGAAACGATAGGTATGCGACAAAAAAAGATTTATTAGAAATGTTGATAACTGTCCGCATTATATGTCGAGGAGATTATTGCCTGATAAATTAATTGAGTACCTATAATCCATGCAGAAATTACAATGAAGTATGCTCAATGAAATGTTAATTATTTGATGGCTTATTGAAAAAACTACAGACAGACACAAAGCAAGTACATTCCCCTGGTTTAACGGGTGTTGTGCGATTTGAAAGCAACTAGGTACTCCTTTACGTAGATGTCATGGTTTTCTCGGATGACTACGGTAGAGGTTACCTTGGAAAAAACATTAAAAGTTTACATTGTACACAACACCTGTATAAACACGTCCTGGTTCACATGGACATAAGATGCGTACATCACTTTTTCCAAGCCCCTATTCTTGTTTACCTACCTAATAGTATAAAAATGTTACAAAAAAATAATGGCATCATTAGTATTTACGTTGCAGTTTTTTTTATGTAAGGGATTTATAAATATTATACAGAATAGTAAAATATATTTGGTTCACACACATGTCTTTTTTTCAGTCTGAATTTAAAAATAATTTCGTAACACATCACTTTTCTTAGAAATATCTGAGTGGCGGATAATTTATTTATTCCGGTTATGAAGACGAGGGACTATATTTTAATCTAACTTTAGTACAACTAAGTTGTAACCTTGCACTATATATTATTATGTATATAATATTGTACTATACATACCTACAAAAACTGTAAAAACCTGCTTTACTTTTTTCTTTAAGTATGGCTGGTTATAAGTATGGCTTCGCATCAATCAAATCCAGTCACGCAAGCGCACTAGGTAAGAGCATCCACATACATCAAATTCTAACTAATTATAGCGCACTTTATTTATATACAATTCAATTAAGACTATTTATAACAAGAGATTATTTTTATGTGATTATGGTGCCAACCAATGGCCTAGCCATTCTATTTGTTTTAGAATGTTAGTTAATGTTATTTTAAGGATCTGCTTTAAGACAAAGGAACGTCTTTGATTTGTAATAGTTTTTAAATTTAAACTCTGTAGTTTGTATTATGGTTCACAATGGTTCAGAAACGTGATAAATGATTAGGAGAAAAGAATAGTACGGTTGTGTCTATGTATTTTCTTTATGACACTTAACAGTGGTGCGGTGCCGTTCTCCCAGATGTCGTGAGAGTATGTTATAACCAAGCAATATTACTATCATCACCAATGTAACTGTCAAGTATTTTTATTTCAATAATGCATATATCATACTCGTATCAAGTATTTTACGTTAGCCAACATCGTCACGTTTTTCTTTCTTTCAGATCTTTAACTTTTTTACGGTTTTGTCAAACGTGACATTTTAACTAAAATACTGTATTATACCATGGCTATGACAATTAGTGAATAAAAAATAATAAAAAGGAGGAGTCCCTAGATCATTTGAAAACGATTAGTCGTGCGGTGTGTGAACGAGCGTTATCGAGAAGGCGCTTGGTAATGAGCATGCCCATTATCATTTCACATTCTTGACAGTACACTTGGAGAGAACAACCAACAATTTTTTACATTTATCCTTCAATAAAACACTTTTTAAGTGCCTCAATGTTAAATATTTAGAGCTATGAAGCATTAACATTTTAACACTTCGTACCCAGCAATTTCTATATATTATGTACTAACTTACCGATGTCTTATAGTAATGTGAAAATATAATACACATATAATACACTTACACTTACTTATAATAATACCTTAAATCGGATTTGATACTTTATCTAATACATAAATAAATTTTATTGTAATTTACTTTTTCTTCTCTTTGTATGTACTTATTATTTAGAAATTTAATTTATCTCTAACATGGGCACTAAGGTAAGGTAAAACTTTACGGAGTTTATATTAAATCTTAAATACCTCCTGATAAATCAATAATTAGGTGAAAAGTTTCATGTTTGTTTAATGAGTGCGAGTCTTTTCTTTGTATTCAAAATTAAATTTCAATATTTAATACCAATACAAGTGTTATAACGTTGCCGTTTTTAGTATTTTTATTGTTACTTTTAAATGCTGAAATTCATTTAAAATCAGATTTTTATTATATTAAAATACTGTGACAAAAATGAAGTACTTAATATTAAAAGATTATATGTACTTACAGAAATCATTGTCTTTCGGCATCGTTTTTATAAACTACACAGTTGTTACAATTACAGTATTTTAATTACACAGTTAAATTAATATGTTAATATGTATTTCTCGTTTGTATCTCGTCCTAGCACTTATCAAGATACACCATACTGATATCTACAAAATGTTTTCACTAATATGATGTTGTCTTCTCGACCTCATATACATGCTCAGCTATATTGACAAAAGATTACCTGCTCACGGGCACATCTTTTATCGCGCCACTAAATTATTTTGAGCCTTGGCTATATAGATAAGATGGATGAAAACATCAATAACTCAAACTGAAGAACGTCGGAATAGATAAGGTAAGATCAAGCCATGTAAATGTAATTTACTAATTGCTCCACTGAGAAAACCTTTACTGTACATGAAGGTTACTTTTTCCAGGAGTTTTTTCTATCCTTATAGATTAATTAGAAGTATAAAACATTAGGAATATATCCAGTGTCGTGGGGGACTTTACAAACTTACATGAAACGGACACAAAGAACACCCAGACTCAGAACAAAAATTTGTGGATCACACAAAGTGTCGTCCCATGTGAGGTTTGAACCCACAACACTCGGCGTAGTAGGAAGCGGTGGCTTAAACTACAACACCATCCGTGCAGTCACAGAAAACATGCATGACGTAACAGTCTAGATATTAACATATTGCATTGTTGCGCAGAATATTAATAAATCATGCAATCTGACATCTAAAGATGTCAGATGATGTCAAATCTTAAATTGATTGCAAAATAGATAAAAAGTGTCATTATTGGGCGCTAAGGCTAATGGCTAAGCCTGTCACTTATTCGCAAAAAATTGTTTATTAAAAATTTACATAAATCCATACAGGTCATATTGTCCTCGTCTGTAGTTAACGCAAAAAATAATAATACTGCATTCCTTTCTAATTTTCTGTTGTACTGGGATTCAGTATTGACTTTATTTAAAAAAAGCTTTTAAGACATGCACCGTGTTCGATCTTGACAAAGGATATCTACAGACAGTTCATTAATCAATATCGGTTAAGTCTATAAATAACAACAATATTTTAAATTGACAAACGTATAAACGAAAACAAATCCCTCTGTCTTGATAGACATGACATTGTCTGCAATCATTATGTTATATGAAGAGTATATTTTGTATCTACATATATGACGGAGTAAATAATATATTTTGGAACAGTTTGGTCTGGTTCTTACTTAAAAAAAGCAAAATGATTAATATCGTGCACATTGTCGTTATTGTAAAAAGTAAAAGTACGCGTGAGCTTATGAGTGTCGCTAATAGTACTTGCAGTATTACCCGCTTTTTACCAAATATGTCCATCCCACGGGAACACTACATTTTGTACGGATAAAAGTAGTTTAGGTGTTAGTCCAGGGTGTCAGGAAACTCTATACCAAATTTTATCAAAATTGGTCCCGCCATTAGAAAGTGGTGAACTAACAAATATACAAACACATACACTCAGAAACTTTCGCCTTTTTAATATTAGTGTGATGTTGATTGAAATCATGTGAATGTTCTGATATCTCTGATTTCATCAAAGATTAATCAGAAGTTGAAACAGCATCGATATATCACTGACACATTATTATATTATTTTCAAACCTGTATCTCGTCATCATATGTTAATCGAAAGTCAGTAAATGGAATAAATATTTAATAAAATCAATCTCAGAGTTGCGTGCACTTTATAATTGTCAATTTTTTTGATAAAATTCAACATTCATCTTAAGCCTATTGCCCTCCACTGCCGAAATCCCTGATAAAGATTAATACCATTAAACTAAATATTTTGGATTCATCAATGGCTGTTAACATAGATAGGCTAAAATCACTGGCCCTACTGTCCGGTCAGTGCAATTTGGTCGAAATCTCAAGCAATGCAAAGGTGACTATTTCTAATATGTAGTAATTAGAAGTGAAAAGTATTCTAATAGAAAGTAGTCGCCTCTAATTCCCGTAGGATTTATTAGGAATTACAAAAAGAAACAATGGCAAATTTAAAATTTTGTTTAAATTTTTAATAGTAAGCGAACGAACAACAATCTGCTCATCCCACTGCCTACAGCTAGAAACATCGCTTGTTGTGTCCTGCGAGAAACGCATGTTAAAGTTTGTAATACGAATTACAGGCATCGTAAATCCATTTGGCAACTACACACATCAAAAAAGTCTAAGCAACTTGTACGGTTTAAAACTTTATACGATTTTTACTTTTATAAAAAATAACTATGCATTCTTTCGCACCTTTAATAATAAACTGAATTAATTCAAAATTTACGTTTTTCGAGTTTTTAACAAATACCAAATCAACTTCATCAGTAGAACACGAACAATCCAACAGGCGACTCGATACCATGAAAATGGCAGAGATAAGGAGATCGTCGTTCTCTATTTGACGAACTCGCACGTACAAATGTTAAACTTTAAATGCGATTTCCCACAATATTGAAATTCTAAGTTAATTCAGTTTATGAATAAAGGTGCGCTTTGATACATTTCATTCAATTGTTCATTTAATCACAATAATTAACAATATGTGTACTACGTAGTACAAAATAAAGTTAAAACGAAATTAAACTTTTCATCTTTTATAAAATAAATTTACGATATTTTTTTAATTATTTGGTAAATCAATACTAAGTGTTGCCGCCTTTGTTGTTTAAAACTTTATCTCATCTTGCGGCAATCGCTCCCAATGGAATTTTAACAAGTCTTTAAGTTGTTGGGTTGTCGACACTCCGTCCAGATTCTCTAGAACACGGCTCTGGAGCATATCCAATGCGTTCTCGATGGGATTGAAGTCTGGCGATTGTGCACAGCAGTTGTCCTGTCGAGCAGTTGTACTCATTCCACGTCCTGGGTGCTATTCAGCAGGATAACTTGTATAAACATAATGCTACCAAAGACGACCAATCACGCTCCTATTCACGCTCCTACGACGGACAGACGGACAAGAAAGTGATCTTATAAGGGTTCCGTTTTTACCTTTTGAGGTACGGAACCCTAAAAATGACACAACTATTTTTTTTCAAAAACTGTATACCTATCTCATATGACTCACATGAAATCGGAAAAAAATATTAGCTTTTATTTTCATGAAAACAAAAGACAATTGTCGTTGATTTGATTCCAAATTAGGCAGAGTCTGTGCTATAATAACCAGACTGCTGATAAACATACTAATATATTTCTAAATACATACCTATTAAAGATAAATTACATCCAGACCCAGAACAAATCATCGTGATCATCACACTATTATTTGACCTGGGTGGGATTCAACCCACGACCTTTGGCTTTGCAGTCAGGGTCACTAACTATTAGACCAACAGGCCCGTCAAACGACCTACGATCTACCGACCAATTAGCCAATATTTATGTTTCCAAGAATTAAGAATATTGTATACCAATCTATTTTCCTAAAAAAAAAAAAAATCAAAGAAAAAAATAACATGCAGATTCTGTACAAAGATGCGTGTTGCTTAGACTTTTTTGATGTAGGTATGTATAAACTATTTCTCCACGGGTCAATTGTCTTGGCATAGAGAAATATAAAAGTATATTTATAGTATCTGTCAACTGTAAATAGGGTTCTGGCAAATCATAATTTTGAGAAAAATCTTGGGCCACAAAGTAGGATAGTAACCAAAAGGAATGTTGTACCCCGACCAGAGATATTAAAATTGCAATTGATCCTATTACGTCTACGAGTAAAACCAATTGCATTATTAGTCATTCAACATGCTCCAAATGTAACGATATAACAACTTGCGGAACATAGCATACATGTAACACATAAGCTATACTGCATGGCATTTTCTTTTGTTTTGTTATGGCACAATGTAGAGCATTTCGTCTTACTTCGCTTTAGTCTAAAAAAAACATCGTGACCATCATTGCATTTTAGTTCGCAGCTTTAATTCTGTTTTATTTGTAAAGATATAAATATACGTACGTAACTGTTGTATACAAAAGGGAATTTGGCAAAATGAGTAAGTTTGATCATTTTTTCACGCTTTTATATTTTGTATTCGTCAAAACTTAGCCTAAAAGTGATAATAGTGAATAATTTAGTTTTGATTGTAAGGAAACGGTAGCTAATTTCAGTGGCCATTTATCTGATGATGAGTGTTTGTAAATAAAGTGCAGAATTGATACAGTTGAGTGATGCTATACTCTCCTGTACGTACTATAAAAGTGTTTTTTCCTCGTAACGTAATAACGAAACAAAGGCATTACATCTCTTGACTAGCGACACGCACATTACTTACAACTTACGAACTCTTATCGATGGAACTGTGCACGAACCAAACAGCCATTTAGCTTCGAGCTCCTCAATTAAGCCGTAATTTTACTAAATTTCTGTACGGAACTTTTTGCGTGACTAAGCCTCATTTTCAGTCTTTTTCTATAAGATGTTTCGTGGATTATTACCAGCAGTCGGTCGTTTCGGTGACATCTGACGTCGTTTCCGAATTCATCGTTTATTTTAGCCACAAATTAATTGGAAGTTGAATACGTTTTTACAAGAAAATTAAATACTAAAATATACTACTATGTACTAGCATGAAGTGCTTTAGTCGATAAAAGGATTACACTGTTTGGTATGGGTACATACTATGTATACCTAAGTAGGTCCCAACAAGAAATGTTTCTTGAAGAGAAACTGAAAATTATAATTATTTAACCTAGAAAATTAAAACGTTTATCAATGTGCTCTAACAAATGAAAAAATAAAAAAGGACGGAGGAATGTTTAGTGATAATGACCGGTGTAAATGCCGGTATTATTCTCAGCATATCGCTACCGTTCCCGAAATAACAGCCACCTATATAACACTTTACGTTCTCCGAAATAACATTTTCTTTACTCGTTTTCTTTAATTTACTTTTTTAAACATTCAGTTTTAATGCCAGTATTCTCATTTGTTCCGTTCCTAATATCAAGAATGCTATAAAATAATATTACAAATCGCGTAACTTGAAA